CTTATAATACATCCACAGGGGCATCCAAATATATTAAAATTGTAAAGATTCACTATCCACCCAATTTTCAAAATTCCCCAAAACTTTGTATTACCTTTAAGACCTTCTTTGAGACTCTCTTGTATCGTATAGGAACAGTGGTCATGTCAGTGGCGGATCCAGGGGGGGGGCCGCCCCCCCCCCCCCCTGGGAAGAAAAAAAAGAAGGAAAAAAAAAAGGAAAAAAAAGAAGGGAAAAAAAAAGAAGGAAAGAAAAAGGGAAAAAAAAGAAGGAAAAAAAAAAGAGAGAGAGAGAGAAGGAAAAGAAGGGAAAGAGGAGAGAAAGGGAAAGAAAGAAGAGGAAGAAGAAAAGAAAAGGGGGAAGAAGGAGATCGGGGGGGAGGCCTCCCCCCCCCCCAATAAAAAAAATAAGAGAGAAGGAAGGAAATGGAAAGAAAAAAGGAAAAGAGGAGATAAAGGGAAGGAAATTGGGGAAGAAGAAAAGAAAAGAAGGGGGTATTAGTTGCAATTTTCCCGCCAAAAGTTGTGGATCGGGGTGGGGGTGGGGAAAAAGCCCCTGCCTCCCCCCCGCCCCTGCTTAAAAAAGGGAGAAGGAAGGAAAAGGAAAAAAGGAGAGCTAAAAGGGACCGAAAAAGAGGAAGAGCAAAAAAAGGGTGAAAAGAAGGGGAAATAGATCATTTGCGGTTAATCCCTCCAACAACGTGTATAAAAAGCTGGGGGCCGAAAGGACCTTGCCTCCCCCCCCCCCCGCAGCAAACCTAAAGGAGAGAGAAGGAAGGAAAGGGAAGGGAAAGAAAAAAAGAGAAAGAAGAAAGGTAGGGGAGATCAGTTGCAATTTTCCGCCAACAAAGTGTAGATCGGGGGGGGGGGGGGCTCAGGGGAAATAAAATTTAATCGTGGTTTATTTCTGATTCCATAACGGTGGTTTACACTTAATGCTGAAATGAAATCAAACGCCTACAACTCCTGAGATTCCGGGGTTTTCGCACCCTTTGACCCCACCAAGGACCCTAAGGCGGGACCCTGAATGCTTATCTGACCGTAATTTATTGCCTTAAAGGGAAAGTCCACCCCCAAAATAAGTTTGTTTCGATAGAGGCAGAATAATAAGAAAATCAGGTAAGTGAAAGTTTGAGCAAATTCTGAATGAAAATAAGAAAGTTATGAATTATTGAAGTTGTGATCAATCAAATGCAAATTGGCAACTCTGTGACTTATTATACGAGCTCTCCTTCATTTGCTTTGTGCATAATATTCCATAAAATCATGTTTTCTTCGTTATTGATGACGGAATATATATTTGTTCCTAGCAGGGGGAGTATAGAAACATATTTGCAATTATTATATTTAGGGTGCATGTACGGTTGAAATTTTTCTTGAGGGAAAATGAAAATTTTAGATTTTTTTAGTACTAAGCAAATGGAAGTTGAGCTCGCATTTTACGTAATAGAGTTGCCAATTTGTGTTTGATTGATCACAACTTAAAAAATCCTAACTTCCTTATTTTTAATCGGAATTTGCTCAAACTTTCACTGACTTGTTTCTCTCATTTTTCTACTCCTATTAAAACTAACTTAATTTCAGGGTGGACTACCCCTTTAAACCCCTGAGTTTCCGTGGGCGGACAAGGTATCAAAATATGTTCATCTGACCGCAGGCGCGTAGCCAGAGGGCGGTGGGGGCGGCCTCTCCCCCCCAAAAAAGCCGGCCAAAAAAAGAGAGGATAGAAAAGGAAGAGGACGTAGGAAGAAAAAGGAGCAGACAAAAAACATTTTTGATATTCAGAAAAGGATTAAGAGTCGAAAACGGTACAACGATCGTCTTCTTTCTCTAATAATTTAATGAAATGTCAAATCCTTGGCGCAGGAGGGGGGGGGGACTGAACTGAGACAAGGATTAAGAGACGAGAACAGTATAGCGAATCGTCTTCTTTCTTAAATAATTTTAATGAAACGTCAAAGCTTTCGCGCTTCGCGCGGGAGGGGGGGGGGGGGGGGAACTGAATTAAGACAAGGGTTAAGAGTCGTGAATGGTAATACGTATCGTCTTCTTTCTCTAATAATTTAATGAAACGTAAAAGCTTCCGCGCTTCGCGGGAGAGGGGGAAACTGAATTCAGACGAGGAATAAGAGTCGAGAACGGTACAACGAATCGTCTTCTTTCTCTGATGATTTAATGAAACGTAATAGCTCCCGCGCTTCGCGCGGGAGGGAGGGGGGGGGGGGGGTAAACTGAATTCAGACGAGGATTATTTTCGAGAAAGGTATAACGAATCGTCTTGTTTCTCTAATAATTAAATTAAATGTCAGAGCTTCCGCGCTTCGCGCAGGAGGTTGGGGAACTGAATTTAGACGAGGATTAAGAGTCGAGAAAGGTACAACGTATCGTCTTCTTTCTCTAATAATTTAATGAAACGTAAAAGCTTACGTTTAGGGAGGAGGGGAAAACTGAATTCAGACGAGGATTAAGAGTCGAGAACGGTACAACGAATCGTCTTCTTTCTCTAATGATTTAATGAAACGTAATTGATTCCGCGCTTTGCGCGGGAGGATGGGGGGTAAACTGAATTCAGACGAGGATTTTTTTTCTAGAACGGTACAACGAATCGTCTTGTTTCTCTAATAATTAAATGAAATGTCAAAGCTTTCGCGCAGGAGGTTGGGGAACTGAATTTAGACAAGGATTAAGAGTCGAGAAAGGTACAACGAATCGTCTTCTTTCTCTAATGATTTAATGAAATGTCAAATCCTTGGCGCAGGAGGGGGGGGGACTGAACTGAGACAAGGATTAAGAGACGAGAACAGTATAGCGAATCGTCTTCTTTCTTAAATAATTTTAATGAAACGTCAAAGCTTTCGCGCTTCGCGCGGGAGGGGGGGGGGGAACTGAATTAAGACAAGGGTTAAGAGTCGTGAATGGTAATACGTATCGTCTTCTTTCTCTAATAATTTAATGAAACGTAAAAGCTTCCGCGCTTCGCGGGAGAGGGGGAAACTGAATTCAGACGAGGAATAAGAGTCGAGAACGGTACAACGAATCGTCTTCTTTCTCTGATGATTTAATGAAACGTAATAGCTCCCGCGCTTCGCGCGGGAGGGAGGGGGGGGGGGGGTAAACTGAATTCAGACGAGGATTATTTTCGAGAAAGGTATAACGAATCGTCTTGTTTCTCTAATAATTAAATTAAATGTCAGAGCTTCCGCGCTTCGCGCAGGAGGTTGGGGAACTGAATTTAGACGAGGATTAAGAGTCGAGAAAGGTACAACGTATCGTCTTCTTTCTCTAATAATTTAATGAAACGTAAAAGCTTACGTTTAGGGAGGAGGGGAAAACTGAATTCAGACGAGGATTAAGAGTCGAGAACGGTACAACGAATCGTCTTCTTTCTCTAATGATTTAATGAAACGTAATTGATTCCGCGCTTTGCGCGGGAGGATGGGGGGTAAACTGAATTCAGACGAGGATTTTTTTTCTAGAACGGTACAACGAATCGTCTTGTTTCTCTAATAATTAAATGAAATGTCAAAGCTTTCGCGCAGGAGGTTGGGGAACTGAATTTAGACAAGGATTAAGAGTCGAGAAAGGTACAACGAATCGTCTTCTTTCTCTAATGATTTTAATGAAACGTAAAAGCTTCCGCGCTTCGTGCGGGAGGGAGGAGGGAAAAACTGAATTCAGACGAAGATTAAGAGTCGAGAACGGTACAACGAATCGTTTTCTTTCTCTAATGATTTAATGAAACGAAAAAGCTTCCGCGCTTCTCGCGGGAGAGGGGGGGGGGGAGGGGAAAACTTAATTCAGACGAGGATTAAGAGTCGAGAACGGTACAACGAATCGTCTTCTTTCTCTAATGATTTAATGAAATGTCAAAGCTTCCGCGCTTCGCGCAAAGGGTTGAGGGGAAACTGAATTCAGACGAGGAATAAGAATAGAGAACGGTACCACAAATCGTCTTCTTTCTCTAATGATTTAATGACATGTCAAAGCTTCCGCGCTTCTCGCGGGAGAGGGGGGGGGGAGGGGAAAACTTAATTCAGACGAGGATTAAGAGTCGAGAACGGTACAACGAATCGTCTTCTTTCTCTAATGATTTAATGAAACGTAAAAGCTTCCGCGCTTCGCGCTCGAAGGGGGGGGGGGGGTGGAGGGGGAACTGTATTCAGACGTGGATTATTTTCTAGGGGTTCAATGAATCGTCTTCTTTCTCTAATAATTTAATGAAACGTCAAAGTTTCGGCGCTTTGCGGAGGAGGGAGGGGGAAAATCGCACCTTCCTGCACCCCCCCCGCATTACGTCAATGCTGGTCACCATTACGTACCAATATTTGGCTCGCACAGGCGCGTACGCAGGTTGGAGGAGGGTTTGGGGTTAACCCCCCCCCCCCTTGATTTTTTTTATATGTGTATGTTTTGTGTATTTTTTAATTTTTTTATTAAAAAAATAAATGTAAAACAAATATAGATGACCTAAAAAAGATGACCTTACCCCCCCCCCCCCCCACGGAACGGAATGTCAATGGGTCAAAATTTCAAATTTCGGGACCCCCCCTCAAAAAAAAAAAAAAAATGTCCTCTGAAAATTGTTTTCAAATATAACTCGTTTTATGAAAAAGAAAGAAAAAAAATCTGCTGTGACTATCTTTACTTGTGAAATTGGACACATGCTAAAGATGACGAATGAAACGCAAAAAACAGTACACAAAACGGTTGGTGTAAACACTTTCAATGACATGTATACGGGAAAAGAAATGAGGTTATTCTTTACGTGTAACCTTGCTCTTTTTTATTAATTAATTTTATTGATTATTCACTGAAATAATAACACAGTCACTATACAAAACATGTGGGGAGTTTCACGAGGATTTCTCAAAGAATTCCTGTCTGTTTCTATAGGCTTTGTTAGAAGCTCTTCAAAGGCAGTTCTGTTCTGACTATTTATTTCGCAGATGTTTTCTGGGGCCCATTTTAATTGCCTATCGCAGTGATAAATAACATTGGATTATGGCAATATTTCGGCGTTTGCTTTTCTATTTATTTGTCATTCTGACGTGTTTGTCATGTTTCACGGAAATTTGTGATGCAGGCGGGGGGAGAGGCGGGAGGAGAGGTTCATCTCGTACGTCTGGTAAGCTATGTACTTTTCATTTTCATCCATGCTTTGATTTTTTTTTGTCAGATACTGTCTTGATCTTGATAATGAAATACAGAAACAGAGAGGAAAAGTATTTTCAGCAAGATCAGGAATCTATACATCACTTTCATGGCCATCGTTGGACAGTGGTTGACGAACCCCATTATCATTTTCACGAATGAAGTTTGATGTTTTAAACTGTACTGATAAATTCCCCTTATAAGCATGCAATATAGTGATATGTTATTCCCTTTATAAATAATTTAGAGATGGTACAATTAGTGTATTTTGACACATAAATCAAACGTCCACAACAGCAACAACAACAACACGAAGAAAAATGAAAGAGAATTTTTTTTCCCCAGAGTTATGTGGAAATCGTATGATTACAAAATCGTTTTCTATGTAAGGTTTTAATAGTTGTTGCAAAACTCTAGAACTACAAGATATTATAGAGTATAAACTCTATAATTACAATATATTACCCAATCTTGGTATTATGTCATATTATTTTGCCTATTAATTATATTATTGTAATGCATATTCTCTGTAACTTCATATCCCTATTATTTGTTTTATTCATAACATTCTTGTTATTAGTTTCATCTCGTCTTCATTATCATATTCAATATGTAATGACTTTTAAAGGGTTTTTGCTGATTGATTTCTCAATGACAAACCTACACTACTTATGTTGGAACACGGATTATGATATTTATTATTTTATTCAGTAAACTTTCGTTTTCATACCTGACAGACAGATCTATAAACATTTAAAACATGTTCTGACAGATATAGAGAATCTTCATTTCTATTGTAAAAATTATATTTATTATTTTATCCTGCATCAAAAATTTGTTGGCTTCTGATTGGTTGAGAGCTCGTCACATGACCAAAAATATTTGAGCTATTTTTAGAAAGTACTATATGAGAGTACTATTTTGGTTTACTATTTGGGAGTTGAAAAAAAAATGTTGATTTTTTTTTGAATTGAATCAATTTTTTTTTTCTTCAAATCTTAATTTAATGAAAACAAAATATTTTAAATCTTTTTAGATAAAAATTGACATTTTTTTTGTTCTAAATTTTTTTTCCCAAAAATGTTTTTTTTTTTTTTTTTTTTTTTTTTTAATAAATTTTTGATGCAGGATATAAAACAAATATACCATGCCTTCTATTCGAGGTACTGGTTAAACTATGGGCCTCGGTGACTCCAAAAGGACCATTTGCTTCGGGGCTGTGCCCCTCAGCAAATAGTACTATTGGAGTCACCTCTTGCGCATAGTTTTAACCAGAACCTCTCAAGGCAGTGTATATTTGTATACTATGTGCTCTTTCATACAGGTTCATCTCGAGGATCACGGATCTCGCACACTGGAGGACATCACGGATCATCATCGTCGTCATCATCATCGTCCTCGCACAGTACCGTGTTGATTGTTTTGTTATCCCTTTCACCAGTGTGCATAATTTTGCTGATAGCTGTAGTATTTTGCTGTTGCAAAGCGGGGGACAATCCAAAGGAGAAGCTGGCTCTAGCGATTGAGAAAAAGGAACAAGAGCTGTCTCGCCTGTCTGGTATACTGACGGGCTGTAATGCTCAGGGAAAGAGTGCTCCGGTCAAAAAGGATTCTGCGGTACAGACCGAGTCTGATCGAGGACCTACAAAAGTGGCGACTCAGTCAGCTTCTACTGAATCACTACCACCATCTTACGAGACGGTCATGGGCACCGTGGATGGTCAAAAGAAGTAATCAAAGACCGACAGGTTTGTGTCCACAACTGATGAGAGAATGCATCTGGAAAATGTGGAATTAGTGTTGAGAAAGAAAAAAAATATTTCAGACAAAATTAACGAGGCGGTCTCTCATTAAATTTAGACGCACTACAAGTCTTACTTTGCTTTTACATGAACAGTCGTCTTCTACTATTTGCAAACACTTCAATAACGTATGACTGGAGTTTAGTCTATAGAGGGATTTAATGGACGACACCATTAAGACGACACCTGTTTTAGTTCGGGTAACCTTTAAAGATGTCTACACAATTATCGAGTGTTTAAATATTATTTACCGTTTTTTTCTCTTCTAAATTGACAAAATTGTACCGATGGAAATCATTTTTTATAACAAGCAACTAGTGAATTGTTTGGACATACTTCTTTCTAAATCTGTTTTAATTTACCTATATATATTTGCCTATATTGTCTCTTGAGTCGATTATTATGTATCTATAAACTATTGGTTTCAAGTGTTTTCTATTCCTTGTCAAATAACATGGCATGTTTGGTAAATCGAATTTGGTGTTTTGTGCATCCCACATCTCTCTCTTCTTTCGTCTTCTCTCACACTTTTCTCCTCCTTTTTCCTTTTTTCCTTCCTTTCTTCTCTTTCCCTATTTCGTCATCTTCTCGTTTGGCCTTTTTCTAAAATCCTGTTTTCTCTTTCTAAATTCTACTTCGCTTTAAAGTAAACTAGGCTGGTCAAATGACATGTATCTCGTCAACAAATGGTAATGAAAGCATAAGCTTTCGTGAATCGTTCTTTCTCTTTCATCTGTTGACAATGGTTACAACCGATTCCATGACATTTACTCCGGCGACAATTGCTCCGCTGTAAATTTCATACACTAATCGAATGGTTAACTTCAACCCTGGATTCAACACTATACCCTACCCTAAACCTAACCCTAAACCTAACATAAAACCCTATTGAAACCCTAACCCTAACCCTACATCTTAGACGAAATAAAGCCCGGAGCAATTGTCGCAGGAGCAAATGTCGTGTCACCGTTACAACCCCCGAGATATGTTAGGTGATGTATCGCATTATGTACAAAATCTTGGTTTTAACTTATAAATGTTTTCATGACTAGGCACCAATTTATCTGCAAGAACTAATCCAGGAATACCTCGTGTTTACTTCGGTGTCAACTCTTTCTTATGGTCATAGCTCTTTTTGCAAAGATTCTGCTGGACTTTGGAACAAACTACCTTTACATGGCAAACACTGTCAGACTGTCAACCAATTCAAAAATTGTCTTAAGACACATTTATTCAAAATAGCTTTTGAAGATTAACTGATTAACTGTTCACATTGATTTTCATACGTTTGTAGTTTGTAGGTTTATTTGTATTTTTTAATTTGTATAGACATGTAGCTGTTTGTCATTATATTTTGTTTGTTATAGCGCTTAGAGATTTCGGTGAAAAGCGCTTTATAAGCACCGTTTTTATTATTTTTATTTTATTATTGTTATCCTGCAAACATTTTTCTTTTGTTTTGTTTAACTCTAAATCTTTTTTGCCTGAAAAATAAAGCTATTCATATCCATTTCTTCGCATCCATTTCCTATGTATTTATATGATACTGGTGATATGCGTTAAGGTGGGAGAGCGGGTGTGAACGGTATAGAAACAGGTGAACGACAGAGACTCGAAGGAAGAAGGAGAAGAAATAAGAGAAAGAGAGGAGTCTAAGTATAGTGAAAGGGGAAGGGTTGTCCATAGTCTGAGAATAGCGTTGAAAAGAGCCATAACTAAAGCTTTTCGACTTGCACTCATCAGAGTAAAACGCAAGAATGAAACAGAAAGCCGAAATCGATCAATATATTAAACGGAAACTAAAAAGAACAAGGCGCGAATATGACGAGCGCTGATTGGCTGTCTAAAGTCCATAGTATGTAAGACAAAAATACTATTAAATGATCTTAATTTTATAGGTTACAACGTTTTGGAATTTCGATGAGGAGGATTATGTAACAGCCGCTATCGTTCAAACATAAATCCTTCTCATCATTAATAGTCCAGTGGAACTAAACATTTTTTTGATACGCTGTTGTCCATAAAATTGAATAATTTTTCTTTGCCTCATTACATGAACTGATTGTGACAATATGATTTATAGATGGAGTTTGTATCTTCTCAGATCTCTGTGACTCTTTTATTTTTTTCTTCTATCAAGAATAAATCATATTGTCCAAATCATTTAATGGAAAGTGGCTAAGAAAATTCATTCCAGCCTTGGGGCTATAGTGTGTATAAAGAATTCGCAATTGTGGGTCGCTTAAACATACCTAACTATTGTGACGGCGTATTTTTGGTTGACAGGATTTCAAGACAGAAGGTATTTCGAAAACTTCATTTTATTAACATGACATTATTTTAACCTCCATTTTAAGGCATTGTACTCCCCTAAAAAAAAAAGGTATAAGAAATATCCTTTGATTTTAATGTCCAAATTCACTTCATTGACAGCATTAAAAATCCTGCACTTTTGCCTTGCATTATGATAATTTCATAGATAGGCTAGATCTTCAGACCATGAGGCTTTCTGGGGTGGGTGAGTAATGGCTATTTCCGTGCACATGCGCATTGATCTACGCCATACTGCCATGCATTGGAGATGTCCGATAACCGGTTCTCAGTGAAAGTGTTACATCATTGTCGTGTGGTTGTTCCTAGTTACATGTTACCTGGATCATTGCGGTGAAGATTATCATCTTGAGATATGTATATCACCCGCTGCCATAACTACCATCATCTATTGGTTTTGATATGCTTTGCTATCCTCGTGGAAATATGTCAAGCTCGCAGAAGCCGAACAGGTAAGATAGTACATTGCATTTTCATCTTGGGCAGATAGGATTTTAGATTTTCACATCGGCTGTGATTAAGGTCTATCACGTGAACGACCATTCTACTGCATATACATCTTGAATTAAAATTGCTCTTAAAGCTTAACGACCCGACATCTGGAGCAAGGTATATCCGACATAGCAAAACTAATACATGCAAGATGGATTCCATCCATGCCATGCTATCATAGATGACAGGTACATTGATTAGCTCGTTATATTATCAGGGTCATTGGAGACATCTCGTAGTGTTAGAGATCCGTGCTCCTCGAGATGAACATGTACGAAAGAGCACATAGTAATATACATAGTATTTGATATCATACATCATGTTTCAACTTTGTGCTCTGCCTGAATCAAGAACGGGGCCATCAGGGAATTGACACCCTATGTACAATGTCAAACCTGAACACCGTTTTCTTTCAACCTGTGGACGGAAAAAAGATGAATTATTCAGATGGGAGAAATAGAGGAGAACTTTGAAACAATATTATAGGTGTAAATAAAAAATGGTATGATATAGAAATATTTAGGGAACGGCCGAGCGAAGAACTTGGAAGATATTAACGTTTAAATGTCACCGTAAAAGGAGGATAAGGAGGAGAAGAGAAGTAGGAAATATTAAGCCAGGAGACAGTGGAGTCGAGGAATGAAAGAGGAGTTACTATGAATAGATAACATGGGACATGAAAGACAAGAAACTAGAAATATTAACAAATAACTGGGAAAAAAGGTACAAGATTCAGGAAATTAGACTTGAGAAGAAATGTATTGAGAAAATTAGAGACAGAGGATAGAGAAAGAAAATACAATGAATTATCTTACAGGGATCTTTAAGGAAATGAAGAAATAATTGCGTCGACCACTTTCGTAAACCTCTCGTAAAATTACTACCATAACTATTTCTCGAACGATCTATAGGAAAACTCCGCCAAATATGAATGAAAATTATAACATTAATTTATATGATGATAGTGCACCCACCCATCTCAAGGGATTTCGTAAATAAGGCACAGAGTGTCAGAGTATACTACTACAAGACACACTCACTTAGAGCCTTTCATCGTGAACCAAGAGAGCCACATGCACTGTCTTATCTCTTTTCTTATCTCTCTCCCTCTCTGTCTCTCTCTGTCTCTCTGTTTTTCCGTCTGTCTGTATCTCTCTGCATGTCTCTTTCTCTTTCTGTCTGTCTCTATCTGTCTCTGTCTCTCTCTCTCTCTCTATCGCTCTATCTCCCTCTCTCTCTCTCTCTCTCCCTATCTCTCTCTCTCTCTTTCACTCCTCTCATGCACTACCCTCTCTCTTTTGCTTCCTCTATTTATCTAAAAATTTTGCAGAGAAACATGACGTGTAGTTCTATTTTGGTCCATGACGTTAGATTGTGGAAAACTTCACACACGATGTAACTCACCACACGAAAGCGGCGACACCTAGACATGCACCTAATGTCTTTCCCTTTTTTTTTGGGGGGGGGGGGCTGCGGAGGAGGCGGGACATCTTTTTAGATTTCGATGTAACTCGAAAAATGTAGTGTTATTATTATTCAGTATTAGTATCATCACCATCATCATTATTGTTATTATTGCTGTTGTTATTATGATGGTTTATCGTCATCGTAAATGTATCATGATTTTGTTATCACTTATTATTAAAGATAAACACGTTTGTATACCTGTATAAGTTACATGCATTTTCCTAATATAGCTCGATCTATATGATTTATATTTATTCTTGTTAACTCACTGTACTTGTCCTTTCGTTACCCTTCTTTGTGTATTTTTCTCTTTCGTTCTTGCATTGTTTTATACAATTTACTTCAACCTATTTAATTGTCAAAATTAATTTACGTTCAACATGGCTATTTTTTTTTGCTCACATGTCAAATAAAGGCTCAGACATAGATTACAATAACAACAAATACGATACAAAATATGGATACATTCTAGTGATGGCAAGGTATTATACAAATATACAATGACACTAGCTGAAACTATTCGCATCGAAGGAACATCAACTAGTACTATTCTCCCGAGGGCCATCGGCCCGAGGGAGAAAAGTACTAATGATGTTCCTGAGTTCGTTCGTTCGTGTCTCCTTAGATCAAGATTAAAGTAATCTTGATCTTCGGAGTAGTTGCTACAACCGGCCGTGTCAGACACGTTGCCCCGGGGTGCGAGATAGGACTCTTGTAGCGTGCCCCCATTTAAAACAATTATACAATAACAGTTAACATTACATTTAATTAATAGTATGAAACTATTAAAATTACTCTCATGTTACGGGAAAAATATTGCATATATATATATTATGAATCAATGGATTTGGTCGATCCAGTTCGATGGCACAAACACGGCACTACTGGACAGAGATCCTAATAATTACAGAGCTTGGTCTTGCTCTGTTCGCCAGCAGTTTAAGGATATGGAATCCCGCGGCACATTACTCACAAGAGTTCTAACAAACCAAGCTTATACAGAGCCTATAATAAGTAATGTTGTGCATGTACCACCCACCCGATCGATCAAAAACTCATAACTCATAACTGAATTTTTAAAAAATGAAGATGAAGAAGAAAAAAAAAAGAAAGAAGAAAGTAAAAAGAAAAGAAAAAAAAACACGAAATGGTAACCATCTAAAACTTCATAGTTGTGATAAATATCTATAAAGATTTATCAAGCACCAAAAATAAATAATATCATGTTCAAGAAAAGGATATAATTTACACTTTGTATTCTTCTTTCGCCGGTCCTCAAATGCTCTGCCAGGCCTTGGCACACTGAAGAGCCTTCTCATTTGCTGCCACCAGGTCTTCCAGGCAGCATTGGTCAATTAGGAGTGGACATCTTAATAATAGGTGTGACATGGATTGGACGGATGTTCCACACTCGCAGTTGGTGTCTGTGTCGTCAGTATATCCCCATTTATTCATGTTGTGTTTACATCGCCCACCCCTGTGCGAAGCCTATTGAGGGACTTCCACGTCTTCCAATCACATCTATGGCCAGGGGGCAGCTGTTCCTTGGTCGGGATTGGTAGCTTTTCATGGTGGTGGTTTTCACGACGTTTCTCTTCCCGTTCCTGAGTGCCATCGGCCCGAGGGAGAAAAGTACTAATGATGTTCCTGAGTGCGAATAGTTTTAGCTTGTTCCGAGAATGAGTCATTTTATATTTGTTTTATATCCCTTCCATCTGTATTATTCCTTGTACACTTCTGTAATAACATGAACCTTATACTCACATTCACATCTACATTCAGATCGAAAAGAAATAAAGAAAATTGCACGGCTCAAATGAAACATTGAAGGATGTAAAAATGTTTAGCTGGCGCTAGTGTAGTGCAGTTATCGCACAGCGTAAATTGCATAAAATTATGGCTTGAGCTAGCACCGTGACACCGCGGGGGTTGACCGCGCAGCTGCATTTGAAATCATGTACGCGCTCGCTGGAAAAACGCATAGTTCAAGAATATGCGTTTTTTTATTGTGACGTCACGCATAGTACCTTTTTTCTAGGGAAAAAAAAGGTACTATGCGTGACGTCATCAATAAAAAGGTACTATTTCGATGTAGGCGGCAGGAAACGTCTTTTATAGTAAAACTATTCATTTTCTTGTTGTGTACACTCCTAATGCAACAATCTTACGATAAGGGATATAATAACAAATATACATAATGTCGAGTTTCGTATGGTTATGGCTTGTTTCGTTTCTTTAAGTTATATGATGTAGCAGTCTTCAAGCATATTTATCAATAAAAATATATACCATTATACACATAGAAAATGCAACTTTCAAACTAAATAGGAGTATATCGGAATAAATCTGATAAGCGAGAACTAAAGAACACTGGCTCAGACGTACCGGACACACGACTAGCTCTGAAAAATGTATGCCTTCTTTCGTGTGTCAAACTTTTAATATGCTCTTAATATGTGTAAAATTATTACTTTAGTATTTCATTAATATGCATTGACAAAATAAAATCGAATTAAATAAAATTGTTACTTTGAATATCCAGAGAAAAAAGCTGTCATCGAGATTGAGTGCTAGAAATCAAGCTTTACAAACACAATCCACTGATCAATTACAAGCTTTAATTAGAAATATTAGTCGATACTGTGCTTTTAACGGAAAGGAATGTTCTACGCATCAGCCTTTCTATGAATTGATTCTCCTCGGAGTTATTATCATTATCATCATTATCATCGTTGTTATTATTATTATTATAATTATCATTGTAATTATCATATTTATTATTATTATTGTTGTTATAATAAATATTATTGTAATTATTATTATTATTGTAATCATTATCATTTTTATTATCGTTATTGTTATTATTATTGGTATCATTATCGTTGTCATCATTTTTATCATTATTATCATTATCATCATCATCATCAATTTTAGTATTATATCATTATCATTTAGCATAATTATAGAAAATGCGTAACAAAACAGAAAAAAAAGACAATTGGACAAAATTAGTATAGATCATGCCACTACTAGAATGCCAGGGACAGGAAAAGTTAACCTTATTACTATAGCATATGAGTTTTATTTTAAAAATGGTTTGTCTGAACGATATAGGCCTACAAATACTTTTGATTCAATAGATTGCTGCATGTTATTCAAAATTGCTCGATTGGATTCATTGATTACGCTCTAGGCTTTGATTCGTCAAAAATAATGACATGGTTAAGTCTAGTGTTATGGTTAGGTATAGTGTTGAGTCCATGGTTAAAGTTCAAAATTTGGATAGTGTTGGGAATTAAACTGTGGTACGATTTATTGTCGCCGGAAGATGTATATGGCAGTACGCTTCGTATCCCCATGAAAAGTGCTTTATAAATCCATCCACAGGTATAATTATCATCATAGCTTTGGTACTCTTTTGTTGTATATACAGTGAGACGCGTTCGAACCCGTTATGGTAGTACTTCTACTGGGACATCCTCTTCCTCCCCGGCTACTGCGGATGTGATATTGATTTCATGTGCTGTAATTGGCGTGGTATGCATTCTAGGAGGTATCTACTCATGTTGCCGTCAATGGATGAAAAGTCAAGCCCAAAAAGAGGAACAGGAAAAACAGGCCGTGATTGCTACCCAAGCTCAACATGCTGCGAGTAACGATCAAGCCGCTACCAACCACGCGTTATCATCTTATACCCAACCCGGTAAAGGAACTTATTCGACAGGTCCTGGATATACAAAGACATCCATTCCACTGTATCCTCTAGAAATGGCACCACCAACTTACAATCAAGCCATCACTTCAACAGAATACACCTATCAGAGTGCAGAGGATTCTTATGAAAAGTATCGAACGGATGATGTAACTCAGGAGGCGAGTTGGCTCAGTCGGTAAAGCGTCTGCCTGTCGAACCAAAGATCCCGGGTTCGATTCCCATCCAGGCGGATGACTGAAGTCTGCGTTGTGTGTTAACGTGCCCCTTCCCTTGTTCATAGACGCAGGTTATGTCAAGTGGAAAACACTCCGTCCCTTGGATAGGACGTTAAATGGAGGCCCCGTGTACAGGAGAGTCACCACCCTTGCACGTTAAGAACCCATTGCACTATTCGTATAAGAGAAGGGGGAAACCCCGGTGTAATGGTCCACCTGCACACCCCAATCAGGCCGAGTATACGGCATCTGCAAGAATCTTCAGTATTGAAGGAGGCAGATTATCTTGAAGAAGAAGAAGAAAAAATAGTACCAGTAGCTGAGTTTCGTAGTTTTGTTTTAGCTAGGAGGAACAATTCCTTTGTATTTTCTACAACAATACAAAGATTTCTACCATCATTTATTTTCTTTGTGGACTACGTGCAAGGGTGTCGCTAGATTTGTGTATTTTTTTTTTGGGGGGGGGGGGCAAGGGACGGCTTTGTCAAAATAAGTTTTTGCTATTTGCCGACAAAGTTTTAAACAGTTTTTAACAGATACCACACCAAACTCATATCTCCGTCTAAAAACAACCCGAATCATTAATTGGATGGTTAAAAATAAACTGAATTCAGGAGGAAACCAAAGCATGATATACAACAAAGAGACCAACGAATTCATTATGTGGCTGACAATCGAGAAAATAACGCGGCTGTACAATACAAACAATACACACTGCATGTATAATACAGTTTTGAAATGTATATTAGTATAGTAAACAGCAATGAGTTTTGTGATTGATGTTTGTTATCATATACAGCAGCACAGAATTCGAGTTTTCTGAATATTCATTCCCTTTTTTCATTGACTTCAAAATGTGTGTTGTCTTAGGTCTGAGACAAAATAATAGATTTACAGTGACTATGCCTAAAACTCTTGTGCTATTTCTTACCATCTTTTGTATTTAAAACATATATATAATATGTGATTTGCAGACGATTAAAGTCTCCATAATGTCGATTTTAAGCGAATTGAGCTTGTAATGTAATTATCTTTGAACACTAATTTGAGAAATATAAACTATGTAGTTAGATGTAGTACAGCAATAATTTCAGTGGTCTTTTAAACTTTATTGATTGCATTTCATATATTTGATAGCGTTTAATAAGTACTTGTAATGCAGTATCTTCTGATTTTATGTCTGGTATGTTCGATGTATCGATGTATTTAAAATCCTACATGTATTTATCGTTCTGACACTACTAATTCCAGCGAGGCATATGACAAGTGGCATATGATTTTGAAGTTATCATTAAAAGAAAGATCTGAATACAAAAATGATCCTCTGCCCGTAATTCGTAATAATTTTGTTTGCTTACATGGCGTTCCCTGTATGAAACAAAGTTGTTTGTATACCACTTTTAATTTAGTAAAGGATGAATTTTGTAAACGAAAATCAATGTGACGTTCTCCATGATTTTAACTGATGTCTAGCGGACTTGTAAGTGTATGTGAGAGAGAGAGAGAGAGAGAGAGAGAGAGGGGGGGGGGGTTAAGAATGATGCAACGTGGGATAGAGCCCAGATATTGTGCAAAATTTTATGCAAACACGTTCACACAGTATGCTAACATAATTGGCCCATGCTTTATTTGCGGTTCACTGCCTTGACAGTATAAAATTATTATTCTCGACCTCGCCGCTGACAACACAAAATATTATTGCAGTTATTATTACAACTCGCTCAGTCAGCTATTGTATTTGAAGTCATCCATAGATATCATGCTTATTCATTTCCTGGTGTGCTAGTGTGGTAATATTCTTTTCTACTCTTCAGAAATGCCAAAATTGTGAGAAATTATTACTATACCTGTTCATGGACGTGTCGTGGTATAATGGTGCACTCACTTGACTATTAGAGGGATCTTTTTCACGTACATCGTACAAACTGAGGCATTATATTGGCTTTCTATAGTCTGATTAGAAATGGATGACACATTGGTGTATGTGTTCATATATGGACTCTGTTGTACACTGCATGGAGTTGGAGCACTCAGTAATACGGGTAAGATATATTCATGTTTCTACCATATTTGTATATGTTATAGTAATTGAGGTTGTGACATGTTATACAAAGTTAACACCGAAATGAACAGCATGAATGGAGCTCATATTAAAGTGTGTTTACTTCGTGAAATGGGATTCCAAACGGGATTTTAATCGTCTAGTGCAGACACGCCACTTTACAAGTAAATCATCAAATGAATATAGACTCTCATTTGAGTGATAAGCCGGTGGTTTTGTAAACCAATGCCACCGTAATATTTCAAATCAAAAGAGGAAAATCTGTTTTATTCAAGCAAGTAAGAAGAAAGCTTATGTTTCAAGTTTACTAGGCCTTGCCTTTTCCCCTTCCTTCTTTCCCTAGAGTATTTAACAGACCTGACATGATTATGAAATTTCTGTCTCATTTCAGTTCGTGTGAAATGAATCTGAAATAAATTAAAACTCTATACCACCATCCGACCCATGGCATCTCATTAATAGAACGATAAAATTGTGTTGCTCCTACTGTCTCATACCTTGTCATGTGACTCATGTCGTCATTATTTCATAATAGGGACTTTAGATTTGCTTGGACTGATACGTGTGACGTCCATTCAAGGCAGTGCATTAAAAGGGCGTCAATCGTAGCAATCCACGTTGTCGTTGTGCAAATCTAAAAGTCTCTATTAGCTGCAAATTACAACGATATATGTTTATCAATTATTTGGTCTTAGAACTAAGTTACATACAGTCTAAACTCTAAACTAAAAATGTTAAATCGCCATTTAAAAGGGCCAACGATTAAAAACCTTTAAATTGTTGATGCAATCTTGTTAGTGTTTTCATTTAATTGAATTGACGTTTATTAAACCATATACATGTAAAAGCAAAACATACAATAGAAAATATAGAATAAATATTATTTCCAAATACAAAGCAAATATTATATGGGAAGGACCACAAAAAAAGCAACTGCTTATATTAAATAGGGGCCCTACAAAATACAAATAAAATAAAATATAATCCAGCCACCTTACCCACACACGCACACATACACACCCACACAAGATGTGGTAAAACGAGGCTATTGTACATAATATATAAAACATTACCAGGCAATATAAATTTTAATTAAATTCAGCAATGTATAAAATAATACTAAAATATAACATTTTAACAACGCTGGTATTCCTCAGTTGGTCATTTTGATGGTGATTTAACATAGTATTATTTATGTAGTTTAAGTTGTGGAGAGTATAGCATTATTCTTGGCAGTACTTCTTGCCTCTCTAATCATATTCTATCTCTCATGAATTCAGTGAGTGAGATAAAACTACTGAGTGGTTCTTCAAGCATCGAGGGCGTGGTTGAATACCGGTATGATAGAAAAACTGGTCTCATCTGTGATCAGGACTGGAGTCACCTCGAGGCAGGTGTTGTGTGTCGCCAGCTAGGCTATCAGCAAGGACAGAGTCTAAAACCAGTATCACTTGGAATATTGTCTGGTCTCTCCTGGAACAGGTATGATGATTGTTTTATAGAATTAAAGGGATAGTTGAGTTCTTTTTTCAGACCGCAAATGCCTTCAAAGTGCATGGTTATTGCTCTTATTCTTATTTATGACATTTATAGTGCCCTTTTAGAACCTTAAATTGCTATGAAGGTAATTTTAGACCCCAAAATGTGTGAAATTTAGCCAATACGATCATACCAATTCAGCTCCACTTAAAAAAAACACGGTGACCGTTAATTAGTTATTTAATTAAAAATAACAATACATGAGCCGGCTAATTGTGGGTAGTATAAGCAACACGAAAATGCCAACAAGAAAAGGTGTTATTTCGTTTTTTTCAACGGTTTTTTCAAATTTTTCAAAATATCTAATATTTGTGGTGGTACACAAGTATTAGAAATCGTTATATTTCAGCCGTCTCTGAACCGATTTTGATAAAACAAAGATGATTTTGTCATTTAAATATTATGTTCTTTCAAATTTGACACTCAGTTCTTCATTATCTCACCAAAACAAATATTTTGTGTAGCGCCCTCTGCAACAGAACTCAACTATCCCTTTAATTGACATTCTTTACCCGCCATACTATGAATCTTCATTAAATACATATAGGACCTACATCAGTTTGCCCATCGCCAGATGAGTTATATCGTCATGTAACCTAATTTATCATGTTTTTAATATACAAGGAACATATTCGATAACGAGACGGATAAGTGAAATATATTAAAGTGGCACGTTCCCGCCAGTGTAGTTATCGCTGCTCTAGTCATCGCCATCTTGGTTCCGAAGATCGACTTCTAATTTGCATACAGCTGTCAATCAAAGTACGCGCGGCGGCCTGGCCTGCCTTCGCCAAGCCAGCTGATCGCTGACGATCGCGACGTCACGAAAGTGGGCGGAAACAGCAACCGAATCTTAGAGCCGAACTGCGATTGGCATTACTTCGGCACATGTATGCGATAATCGGTATTGTCCGGGCATTCGGAACATGCCATCTGCGTAAGAGCCGTATTCTGTTGGTGTCAATAGGCAGCTAGCACCGTCCGCCAGCGGGTACGTATTTTGAACGCCCTCTGGAATACGGGGAACATGCCTCTTTAATGGTGGTAGGAACACAATGGCTAGTAATTTTGGGGCAACTTAAAAAAAGATGGGAAGTAAAGATGATAAGAACATTTTATGCTAAATATATTACTCATTGCGGATATAGTATCGAAAATAATATCGCTAGTGATATTCGTTTGTCTCGCAATGTGGTCAATAAGGAATCTAAAAGATCACGACGTTTCGTATGCTACTGCGATACTTCGTCAGGTGATAAAAACTATTGTAAGCAAGGGTCTTTATACTTTACGGGAGGACCGGCGGAGCGGTCTATAATTCGATCGATAATTGGAACAATAACGCCCAATGCCTATTGGTCGACGCACACGGTGATCGA